GGCATTCCAAAATAGCTGCTTGGACTTTGTGCCATACGGAGCACTTTCTCTTTACCCCCAATTTTATCCTAGTACATTCCAGTTCATCTAATAGGCTATATAATTCTCAACAGCAGTCTTTTTTTTTTCTTCAACCGTCTTTTAGCCTTGTAAATTATTTAATTAACAGTCCCCCTCCCACAGCGTCTTTTTCATTCACACTATATGTCTTCTGCTGCCTCTTCTGGCGGTTTTGAACTATTGATGTAGTTTTGAAGTCCGTTGTGTGAAGCTTCCTGGCTGTTCCTGAAAGACCACTTTCTAACCCTTGTCCTGACCTCGTCCCTTCCTTATTTTGGGCAGCTAAGATTTTATTGATTCGTCTGGGCGGTTGAAGCTTGGAGCACGCGGGCATTGGGAAGGCCAAGGATTGTAGAATTGAGATGGACTCTGGAGGTCATCATTGCTGATGGGTTTGTTCCCACCCATCCCTTAGCATTTCCAGTGAAGTCTGAAGAGCAGCAAAGAAGACCTTTGAGTCTAATGTCTGAGGAACTAATCGTGACCAGAAACAAGGTCCTCCAAAATAAATTACGGAGAGCCCTGTTTTGGAACGATTTGCTCCCCTTCTCATTAGCATTCCTAAGACGAGGCTCTGTGGAAGGACAGTGTTGACCTTCTCTTTTAAAGGCCCTTAATCGTAGAGAAATGCTATCATCCCCCTCCTTTTAAAAAAAATAAAATAAAAGATTTAGTTTAGGACACATTTCCAGTGAGTGCAGAACAGCGGTGGGACTAGAATCCGTGCAATTAAGACCTTCAGCATCTTTTGTCATCCCTTAATGCGTCTGTTACCTTTGTTTCGTTCACAAAGCAGGAGCTTGACTCAGTGGCCTCTTCCAACACAACGGAAGCCATGGAAACCAGCGGGGTAGGGAGAGCGGTGTCATCGTTTCCCTATCTCTGCAAGGATTTCATTTTTGGAGTTGGACCTAAAGCTCTTTTTCTCCTGGGAACAGTTAGCCGGAGACGTCCCTCAACCTGCCTTCCAAGGAGTCCCTCTGGAAGGCTAGCCTGAACTAGGTGTCCACCCCAGCTCCCCAAAGAGAAGCCCCAAAAGCTGCAACTTGTTGAACAGTGGTTGTAGAAGTGACTGCCTAAAGCAGTGGTTCTCAACCTTTTTAATGCCGCGACCCCCAACTGGTCGTAAGCCGAGGACTACTCAACCAGTCGTAAGTCGAGGACTACTCAACTGGTGCAGCACCGTTTGCAGAAGGGGACTTTTGGCGGGCTCAGCAGGGCAGAGACAGCTTGGACAATTCCTAATGGCTTTTGAAAGCCAATAGAATTAGACTCTATTCAAGAGAGTCTATTCTATTGGCTTTCAAAAGCCAATAGAATAAAAGGGAGTAGCACAGCTAAGGAAAAGGGGGTGAAAAATGGCGGACTGCGTTGTTTGGCGACCCCTGTGAAATGGTCGTTCGACCCCAAATGGGGTCCCGACCCACAGGTGGAGAACCAGTGACCTAAAGAGTAAGGAGTGGACTCTGAAACTCCCAAGAACTAGTATTTTGTCAGGTCCCATTTCACCTTAACACAGTGTTTCTCAACCTTGACCATTTTAAGGCATGTGGACTTGAACTCCCAGAATCCCACAGCCAGCAATGCTGGCTGTGGAATTCTGGGAGTTGAAGTCCACATGCCTTCAAATTGTCAAGGTTGAGAAACACTGCCTTAACAGGACCATTACAGAAAGGGATCAGTCTTTGGAGAAACCATTTCTGATTCCAGAAGGTAGATCCAGGGGAGCTGGAGACCAGTAGCCTCCTGAGATGGCTTCCCCAGTAAATGTTCCTATTGAGAAGATTACGATTTTGGAATTGGAAGAACCGAAAGCCCAAGGGCCTCTTCCTCTGAACTTCTACCTCCCACTTCCAGACTGAATTTGAATCCCCACCGGGTAGCATTGTAGAGATCCCTGGGATCTACTCTGGCGAAGCAGACATGTTCTGAAGGCGGACTAACCACAAGCTACTCCATAAAGCTCCTTTCTCTGTGAGAACTCGCCTTCAATGGAGCTCCATCCCGGACAAAGAGCTAAGCAGAGCTTTGCCTCGGCAGCTCTTTGTAAGGTATGGAATGGATGGAAAGAGAAGGATTTATTTGCCCTTAAGAAGAAGTCCCTCCTTTTGGTCCCAAAGCTACTCTTTTCTGGCCTCCCCTGATTTGGGGGTCCAGCAAAAAGTAGGACAGAGATTTCTAGCAGATCGAAGTGGTTAGCAAGTGCTAATTAAGTTAGCACGATGGCCTTAGTGCGGTGAACCACTGCTTAATTGGCACAGATAGCGCTCTTCTTTGGCATTTTATCTCTCTTGGGATTCAACAATCCTCCCCACCTCTTCCCCCCCCCCCGGTCCCCGGAAGCCACATATAAATTTTCAAAGGGAGGACCATCGTGAGGGTGGATTGTAACGCACTTCCCTTGACACACATATCCTTCTGGAGATGCCAGACCTCTTTCTGTGACTGCAAACGGCTAGGGTACTGCCTTTCTTTTGTTCTTGCTCACAGCACCATCTTGTGTTCACCCAATGATGAGGAAAATCTCCTCCTTGTAGCACAGACGTGTCAAACACAAGGCACAGGGGGCTGGATGCGGCCCCCGAAGTGGTTTCATGTGGCCCGCGTACAACATGGCAGCTTTCGGCCCATCGATTTAATCGTATCCCTCGGCTTTGTGTAAAACTGGCGGATTAAGAAAGATTGGACTGCTAATGCGAGCAGTGACGTGTGGCTCTTGAGCACCAGGCCTTCAAGAACGTAGTGGTTTCTTGCAAGCTGCAAAGCTGAAACGAAATGAGTGGAATGTGGCGGAGCAGGTCTGCACGTCATTTATCCACATTGAGAAGCTACCTGATTCTAGGCAGGCGTTAGCCCTGCGAGGTAGTCTGGACAAGAAGCACAGCGATGAATGCTAGCTCTGTCTTTATTGTCAGGCTACATTCAAAGTATCTTGCAAGCCTGACGACATTTCTCCCCTCTATTTAATCTCGGGAAAAGAGGAAGGGGACCTTCCCATCGGCAGAGATACTTTTTGCACGCCTGTTGCCCCATCTACCACTCCCTCTTCTGTCCCCCCCCCCAGGTCATTCCTGCAGACCATTGCAGTGACTTCCAAATGATTTGTTTGGATCCCTAAGCATTTCTGTTGCCCGTGATTAATTCCTGGGCCATTATGCAACCTTTACCTCTCAGACCGTAAAGATCTGGGGTTCAGGCTTGTCGCGCTTTTTAAAAATTCATTCTTTAATTTGCAAGCTGTGGATAATGTTTCAGAATGCCAGAGGGCCAGCTGGTGAGGCCACCCGCAGAGAAGCCCGGTTAATGATCAGTTCTTCTGCTCTAAATCAATTTCTCGAGCCAGCTCTGGGTCCAAGTCTAATCCCTGTGCGATGGCTATCCTCCTATTTATTTACGTTAAAAAAATTATAAGTATTCGGCATGGGGCTCTTTTCTTTGGATGGTGTTATTTTAACAAGTAACATTCATTCATTCATTTTTTTTTTTTTTTTTTAAAAGGAATTCGAGGCTTGAGTAACAAAACAAAACAGGGCATTAAATAACAGAAGTAGCCTCAGAAAGGGGACATGTTGGAGCATGCCAGATTGTCTGTAAGAAAATCGCCCACTTGACTTTGTTTCCTTTTGCGCTGCTTCCAAGGTTAAGCATCTCTTTGCCACCAAGCTGCCCGTTAAGGGTTTTTTTTTTTTTTCCTTCCAGAAGCTGCAAGTGCAATTGCATCAAACTCAGGAAGGGGCTTTCATCCTTCCCCTTCCCCTTAACCTGGTGAAGGATGAGTGAGGATTTGGTTCAACTGATATTTTAATGTATTATTATTATTATTATTTAAGAATCCAGCAGTGCAGACCTTTCGGTCTGGATTTGCTGAGGATTTGCAACCGCTGGATCTGATTTTTCAAAACACACTTTGCTGTGTCCTGATGGAGAACTTCATGCCCTCCTGCAAATCCTAAACAGTAGGATTTCTTCTGGGAGGCACCCCCATCTCTTCTTCCTCTTCCTCTTCCTCTTCCTCTTCTCCTTCCCTTTCTCCTCTTCCTCCTCATCCTTACAAAGTTCTCCTTGCTCTTCTGGCAGCCTCAACTATTGTTAATTGACGTTGTTGTAATACAGTGGTTCTCAACCTGTGGGTCGGGACCCCATTTGGGGTCGAATGACCATTTCACAGGGGTTGCCAAACAACGCAGTCCGCCATTCCCCCCCCCCCTTTTCCTTAGCTGTGCTCCTCCCTTTTATTCTATTGGCTTTCGAAAGCCAATAGAATAGACTCTCTTGAATAGAGTCTAATTCTATTGGCTTTCAAAAGCCAATAGGAATTGTCCAGGCTGTCTCTGCCCTGCTGAGCCCGCCAAAAGTCCCATTCTGCAAATGGTGCTGCACCAGTTGAGTAGCCCTCGACTTACGACCGGTTGAGTAGTCCTCGACTTACGACCAGTTGGGGGTCGCGGCATTAAAAAGGTTGAGAACCACTGTTGTAATATATCTTTGATATTGTCTCTCCAGCTTCTTCTGGGTCTGCCTCATATTCTTTGATCTTCCCCCCAATCACTGCTGCATTATTTTCCTAGCTGCCTTGCCAAACCTGAAGTCCATGCCTGTGTTGGACTACAGCCCCCATGTTCCTCAAAATCAGGCTGCTTCAGATCTATCCAAGCTTCCATCTGGGTGTCTACCGTCTTTGTGTACACACAAAAGGGAGACGAACTAGCTAGGTGACATCCAATCAGCGATGCGTAGACACGTCTCCTTCCCTCCTTAGGTCTACTACTTAGTTATTAAATAAACAGCTCTTTGCACACTCAGGCACAGATTGCAAGGAACAATCCGCTGGACTCAGCTGACTGGCTCCATTCCTGGAATTGACTGGATATTTATGGAGCAAATATTGTCAGCATACAATAGGCCTGATTCTTGTCTTTCTCTGTTCCCTTTCTTTACAGAAATTTTGGAAATTTTGCTTCGTTGTATACCACCAGTAGCTACTGCACCAAAACTCTGGAGAAAAGATTGCCAAGCTTTGCAGCAGCCCCTGAAAAAAAAAAAAAAAAAAAACAACTCAAGGGTGTGAACACGCCCTCATCCTTGGAAAAAACAACACCGGTGTGGTAACCAAAAGTCAGCAGCAGAGGAGAAAAAAATGACTGGTAAGAAATAAAAAAGTCTCACCTGCTTTTTATGCTTTTAGAACGAAGTTAAAAATCTCAGTTTGGATTGGATCAGGATGTCCTACCTTGGACTTCAACTCCCAGAAGTCCCCAGCCAGCCCTGCTTTTTACTGTCATGCTAGCTGGGGAATTCTGAGAGTTGGAAGTCCACAGGTCTTAAAAGTAGCCAAGGTTGGACGCCCCGGGATTAGATTGACTTTGTGCAAAATCCAACATAGTTGGCCTTCTCTGAGAGTGGATAATTTCTCCTTTAGCTCAGTGGTTCTCAACCTTTTTAATGCCGCGACCCCCAACCGGTCGTAAGTCGAAGACTACTCAACCGGTCGTAAGTCGAGGACTACTCAACTGGTGCAGCCCCGTTTGCAGACTGGGACTTTTGGCGGGCTCAGCAGGGCAGAGACAGCCTGGACAATTCCTATGGGCTTTTGAAAGCCAATAGACTTAGACTCTATTCAAGAGAGTCTATTCTACTGGCTTTCAAAAGCCAATAGAATAAAAGGGAGGAGCACAGCTAAGAAAAAGAGGGGGGGAATGGCGGACTGCGTTGTTTGGCGACCCCCGTGAAATGGTCGTTCGACCCCAAATGGGGTCCCGATCCACAGGTTGAGAACCACTGCTTTAGCTCAAAGTTACTGATAAACGATCAGCTCTTTATCAAAGTTTGAAGCGGAGATGAATTTTGAAGGAAATTTTTATTCAAGGGTCATGTTTTTCTCAGAGTGGACTTACTGAAAAGGGAGGAAGGGGGGGGGTGAAGTTCAGGTGGATGGGGCTTAGGCAAGGAGTAGGCGGGGCTTCTCAAAGTGGGCGGGGTCTCCCCCTCTTTCCTTTTTGGTACCTTCCTATCTTCCCATTGTTTCTCTCTGCATCTCATTTTTTTTTCCCTTTTGGCCAATGCGCAGACTCTAAAACGTTGATCCGGTTTTTTTCCCCATTCTTCCTTCAACAGCGGCAAAAACCCAGGCCGAGTTGGTGAGGAAGTGGATGGTGCTGGCAGAAACCATTCCCGGGGGAATCGGAAAAGAGGAAGGCTTGGAGCCTGCCGCCAGCAGTACTGAAAATAGTTTGCTCCCGACAGCCAAGGCACCAGGATGGAGGGAGCTCCATCAGGCAGCCAGGAATGGGGACCTGCGGCTGGTAAAGCAGCTATTGAAGCGAGGGGCATCTACAAACAGCAGGTGTGGTCTGGGGGCACTGCTTTGGCCAGGGGTCTGTTTTAAAAAACATTAATTGCATTTATAGCCTTCTTTTTCTCTTGAAAATACCAGCCAGCCTACATGGAAGTGTGGGCTGCTTGGTGTTCTCTGAGCTTCGTTGTTTTCTTGCAGACGTTTCATTACCAAACTAGGTAACGTCATCAGTGTGCTAAAAGGGAGTGGGGGGGTTGCTCTCTCCCCATGTAGTAGTGAGGATGTTACCTAGTTTGGGTAACGCAACGTCTGCAAGAAAACCACCAAGCTCAGAGAGCACCAAGGACCCCACAGCTACAAATATTCTCTTCTATAATAACCTGGAAATATCTCCTTTGTTTTATCTCCAGCACAACAATCCTGCAGTGTAGACTGATCAAAAGAGTGGCCCATGTTCCCCTCAAGCCAGCTCCATGACTGAGGAGAGACCAGACTCCTAGTAGCTAAATTGGGTTGATTAAAGCTTCAACTACTTACTGGTTAAGCCCCACTGCCAGGGTTGGTAGAGGTTGTTTAGCTGGAATTAACCAGATAAGTTGGATTCACACGGTTCAGTAAACCACAGTGACAAATATATATATATATATATATATATATATATATCCCTCACCAAAGTTATACAGAATAACAAGGGAAATGCTATAGACCAGTGGTTCTCAATCTGTGGATCGGGACCCCATTTGGGGTCGAACGACCATTTCACGGGAGTTGCCAAACAACGTAGTCTGCCATTCCCCCCCCCTTTTCCTTAGCTGTGCTCCTCCCTTTTATTCTATTGGCTTTTGAAAGCCAATAGAATAGACTCTCTTGAATAGAGTCTAATTCTATTGGCTTTCAAAAGCCGATAGGAATTGTCCAGGCTCTCTCTGCCCTGCTGAGCCCGCCAAAAGTCCCCGTCTGCAAACGGTGCTGCACCCGTTGAGTAGTCCTCGACTTACGACCGGTTGAGTAGTCCTCGACTTACGACCGGTTGGGGGTCGCGGCATTAAAAAGGTTGAGAACCACTGCTATAGACCATTATTCTGGACAAATAACTGTCTGGTCACTCCTTAAAAACCCGCCAATATTGGGAGGTTAAACACTCATCACAATTAGCATGTAGCTGCCAGTTTGCAAATGGCATCAAATCATCAACCCTTTGGTTTCTGGCTTTCCCAAAGGCACACACAGGAACTGAAAGCAGCAAAGGGGTGGGCGGGAGGAGCAGGGACCTTTCTGGATACGAAAGAGGAAGAAATACGAGAGGAATGCTCAAGCTCCTTAAAAACCAGTTAGAAAAGCCAAAACCTCTTTGGCTGGGGGGAAAAAACGTCGGGAGAAATTGCCACCTGCCTTTTGGCCCAGCGTGTATTGAAAGCCACACATTCTGGGCTTCGAACCTAAAGAGAATTGGCCGATACCAATTGTGTGCCTCTGTCTCTAGAACTACACTTCCCAGCATCCCTTGCCTTCCATCCCAAGGCCTTCTCAGCTCTCTCTTTTTTTAAAAAAAAAGAAATTAACTCTTTTTAGAGACGAAAACGGCTGGACTCTGCTGCACGTCGCTTCCTTGCATAGCTACCTCCCCTTGGTGAAGTTTCTCATCCAGCGTGGAGCCGTGATCCGTACCGACACCAAGGCCGGCTACACACCTCTGCATCATGCTGCCTGGAGCGGCCATACCCAAGTGGCGGATCTCCTGTTGGCCCGGGGAACGCCAGCGATGGACTCAACCAAAGAGGGCCTTATCCCGTTTCATTGTGCGGCTGCCAACGGCCACACCTTGATGATGCAACTGCTTCTACGGCACGGGACAGATCCCAACGCTTGCGACTGTAACCAGTGGACCGCCCTGCACTGGGCCACAGTTGGCCACCAACTTCACATAATGAATTGGCTGATTTCCCAAGGGGTGAACCCCAATCTCCAAGGCAAGGGAGGTGTCACACCTTTACACATCGCTGCCGAGATTGGGAGACCTGAAACGACACGTCTCTTGCTTGTCCACGGGGCCGACGTGAATCTCCAAGACGACTGCGGAAGGACGGCGCTCTCTGTCGCTGCTAAAAACAGCCATCATGAGGTGGTCTTAAATTTTTCGATCAGTGTTATAATTCATCGTAATAATTAATACTGTTATAGTGAAGCTGGGGGGGGGGTGATTGTTGCTCATGAATCAGGGGGGGCTGTTTTTATTATTGTTTATCACAAGCAGAGAAATATTTGGGGAATGCTTTAATAGAATAACAGAAGGGACTTTGGAGGTCTTCTAGTCCAAACCCTGCTCAGGCAGGAAACCCTAATAACATTTCAGACAAATGGCTGTCCAATCTCTTCTTAAAAACCTCCAGCCTTTCCTGCGGGCGCAAACTTCATCCATCTCGCTTTCCAATGGATCGAAAGCCCAGATCTGGACAATCAAATCCTTTCAGAGACTCAGTTTTTTAGCCCAAAACCTGTGGGATTCTTGGATTCTCCCACTGGAGCAGGACTTTTGTTGCTCTCTCAAGCTTTTCCTGTCTTCCCCCTTCAGATTGTGAAGCTGCTGCTCCAGAACCAAGCGGATCGAAGCTTGGCAGACCTCCGCGGTTGCACCCCGCTCCACAAGGCCGCAGGTGCCGGGTGCCTGCGCTCCGTCTGCCTTTTGCTCAGAGGAAGCTCCCCTGCAAGCCTTCATCGAAGAGATGGCCTCCTGCTCACGCCGCTCCATCGCGCAGTCCTCGGCGGTCACGCCGACATCGCCGGTTGCCTCTTAGAGCACGGAACGGACGTTAACACGGCTGGGTGGTTGGGGAAAACCGCTTTGCATTCTTTCCCCTGGTGGAACTTTTGATAGCAAAGGGCGCAGACCTGAGCCGGAAGACTTGGTGGAAGGAGAGCGCACAAGAGGCCAGAACACGGAGCTTTCTCTAGCTGTGCTCGCCCTGCCTGTCACCAAGGGCCTACTGTAGGTGAGTGTTTCCCAAACTTGACAATTTTAAGGCATGTGGACTTCAACTCCCAGAATTCCACAGCCAGCATTGCTGGCTGTGGAATTCTGGGAATTGAAGTCCTCATGCCTTAAAATTGTCAAGTTTGGGAAACACTGCTGTAGGTAGTGCTTGACTTACGACCAAGAGTTGAATTTCTGTTGCCAAGTGAAAGAGTTGTTAAATGAATTTCTGCCCCGTTCTGCGGCCATTTTACGAACTTTCCAGCCACCGTTGTTGAGAGAGTCCCTGCAACTGTTAAGCTATTAACACGGTCGTTAAGTGAATCTGGCTTCCCTGTTGATTTTGCTTGTGAGAAGGTCGCAAAAGGGGGAAATCACGTGACCCTGGGATGCTGCGACTGTCGTAAATACGAACCGGCTGCCAAGCATCCAGATTTTGGTTAGGTGACCACCGGGACGCGGCAAGGGTCTTACGTGTCAGAAATGGTTGTAAATCCCTTTTTTTCATCGCCAATGTAACTTTGAACGGTCACTAAATGAACTGCTGTTAAGTTGAGGACTGCTTGTAAAGAGCTCCCGGCTTTTGGGATCGTTGTAGGGTGCTCAGAATTGACACCTGCATAAGACGGTCAGAGCCGAGCAGAAGAAAGAGTCGGGAATGGGATAGGACAGATGTCCTTTGGGCTCTTTTTGCCACTCTGTCAGGTCATTACACAATGACACCTTGCGGGTATGCGTCACACGACAATGCCCTTTGTGCAGTCCAGCTTTCTAGACACAAATGTGCGTGAAAAATGCTGTTTGTGTTCGCACAGTGGGCTGGCCCATGCATACAACGAGCAGGTGCCTTTGTGCACACGTGTGGCTTTGTGTAAATTCAGGGAGTTGATTATTCCATGTTTGATGCACATAGGGCAGTGGTTCTCAACCTTTTTAATGCTGCGACCCCCAACCGGTCGTAAGTCGAGGGTTACTCAACCAGTCGTAAGTCGAGGACTACTCAACTGGTGCAGCACCGTTTGTAGAATGGGACTTTTGGCGGGCTCAGCAGGGCAGAGCCAGCCTGGACAATTCCTATTGGCTTTTGAAAGCCAATAGAATAAAAGGGAGTAGCACAGCTAAGTAAAAGGGAGGGGGAAATGGCGGACTGCATTGTTTGGCGACCCCCGTGAAATGGTCGTTTGACCCCAAATGGGGTCCCGACCCACAGGTTGAGAACCACTGACATAGGGGGAACAACCTACTCCCAGAGGCAGGTGGTTGTGCAAATGCAGGCTTTGAGGTGCGCAGGTCAAACCAAAAGGCTTGCAAGTGCTCTAAAAAAAGCCCGTCTCAGCCCCACCCGGTTGATTTCCACACCCATCGGCCACAGCCTGTCCCAACCAGCATCCCGCATTCCCCTCTCTATCTACCCCTGCAGCTTTTTCCCAACAGAACCAGAGTTGGTTGCCTTCTTGCAGGAAGTTTTATCTTCCTCCCGAGCCAAGCCCCCTCGACGCCGGGCTTTCCTTGTGGTCTCCCCTCCTAACGAGGTCCGATCCGGTACAGCCTTTCCAAATTAGCCAAAGGGTTTTTAAAAAAACGCGTCGATCGGAACCGCAGCTGCGTTTCGCTCCTTGTTCGGGCTTTCCTCTTTCCTCCTTGAGGGGCGATTCCCACGGAAATCAATGGGAAAGGGGCGGGAGGAAGATCGCACGGCGGGTTTTCCGGGCGAAGAAGCAACAACTACCCCTTTGTTCTCCCCCCACCATACAATCCCGATCTGAACGCTTCGGCGTAGCGCTGGCCTTCCTCTTCCTTCCCCCCTCTCCACTCAAATGGCGAGTTCCCCACCAGCGCCGGAAGTGCGGGGCTTGCGGACGGCGCGTTCTTCCCCTTTGCTCTCCCGGTCGGTTTTTGCAGCAATTGCTGCGAAGTCTCGCCCGGCGGCCGGAGGGGGACGGAAGGCGTTGCACCGCGTGGCTCGGTCACCTCCAGCCGGGCGACCCCTCCGCCGCTTCCTTTGCAAAGCTCAGGCTCGCTGGCATGGTTTTCCTCACTGTCCCGCTTTGGCTCCGCAGCCGGGTGACCGATCGCTTCTGGCGCAAGCAGCTGATTCTCAAGCATGCCCTGGTAAGGCGGGGAGGGGTCGCCTTGCACCCCCACCAGTCGGCCTTCTCGCCCCCTTCCCTCTTTTTAGCCCCGAGATGGTTTAGCAGCTTGATGTTTTGGCAGCCAGGCGGCGTCCGGCCTGGCAGCCAGGGATGGGAGACCACTAGGAAAGGGCAATGCGAGAGGGAGGTTAAAGAAACCCGGAAGAAGGCGAGGGCACCCCACTTCCGGGTTGTTGCCTAGAACGCAACAGGAACATCGGGCGTTGAGTTCCTCTGAAGGGCATATTTACTTAAGAACTGCTGGAAATGTACTCCTAGTAGTACAGCTGTACTGTTTAGTGTTGCTCCTAGTAATAATAGGATGTACTGCATTTGACTTACTCTGTTACTGCTATGGTTATTATTGTTCTTGCAAACTTAAGTCATGGTAAACCCGGATTGCTGATTCCACGGAGTTGGGTGGCCTTACCTCCAATAAGTTCCCCCACCAGATGTTTAGAACTACAGCTCCCAGAATTCCCTGTTCTCAGCAGCCTGATCTGTTGAATGGGACTTCTTGCTGCAGATGCCCGCCTTGCCAGTGCTCAATGGGTGGGCTGAAGGGACAGGGTAACAATTCCAGGTTCTGCACAGGGATGCCAAGCTTCAGTTGTGCCACATATTATTCAACACATCAAGCACCTTGGATTTTGTGAGTTGGGGGGGGGTTTTCTTGTTAACAAGGACTGGAAATCTTTTGCTTTTGCTATCTTTGTGTCCTTCCTTCCCTCCTCTCCAGCATTTTCGTGGACGGAAGAACCGTTGTTATAGCTTGGCATACCGAGCTGTTCGGAGGGCCTTTGTGTACGCCACCAAGGCCAGATTGCTCAAAAAGAGAGATATGAGGACGGTAAGGAAGAGCCAAAACATTTGAGATACTTATAAAATATTGTGCCTTAAGGGCAAATCTGCTGGGTTTCTATCTTCTATTATTGCTGGGTGCTCATTTAAGAAAATGTGCTTTATTTATTTACTAGAACAGAGCACGGTTGAATAACCAAAAGAGAGAAGCAAGCAACAATGCAATTACAGCAATGTAAATTGTGCCCTTAAGGGCTTCTCATACAGATATATAGGACAGTTTATGTAATAGTTTCAGTTAAGGCTGACCGTATTTCAAAGTCATTGTCCATGCATAAGTTACCTCTGTCAGTAACACAATATCTAATGTCAAGTCTTCAACTCACTAAGTAACGGGAGCCATAAATTTATATTCAATTTCTTCAACATTCAGTTTTGCAACTACTAAGATTATTGGCAGAGCAAGTACAAAAATAGCCAGAGAAATTATTGAAGCCCAGGAAACAGGCCCCCTGTACAATCAATAGGACAGGATTGTATGCCAGGGATGGTCCACAGCTATGCAAACATCTTAATTCCTATGTTCTTTACCAAAATCTTACGAATATTGCATTTTCCCTTTCAGCTTTGGAAAACCAGGATCGAAGCAGCAACGTTGGAACATGGTATTAAGTACCATAATTTCATAAGTGGCCTTTATAAGGTAATTGGCTTTAATTTTTTTTTTTCTATTTTAGATTTCCAGGTGTTTTTCAACATTGCATTCTTCCAGACAGCCTGGAGGTGATGAAATGACACCACCATTTGATCATTACTGTTGTTAGTGTTGCTTTATTTTATCCTTTTAAAATGTTTTACTATACTTTAAGGTGATTTTTTTTTTGTTTTGGGCTTGTTGATGGCCATATCGCCGTGGTTCCTTACTGTGAGCACGAATGACTTTAAATATAATAACTTTAAAAAATGGGGAAGGATTGCAGCAGGCCCTAAAAAAGCTTACAACTGACTTTTTTTGGGTACAAAGTTCAAATCTGCTTTTTCTTCATTGAGCTTTTCATGCTTGGATAGGATAAAAACGCAGGAAATGTAAATCTAGACTCAGCCCACGTCGGCTCTCTTTTTTTCTTTCATTTTCCGGCATCCCAGTGTCAGGTGGAACTGAACCGGAAATCGCTGGCTGAGCTGGCCATTTATGAACCAAAGACATTCAAATCTTTAGCTGCTTTGGCGAAAAGAAGAGGGGAAGAAGGACTGCTTGCAGCCCAGGGCGAAGCAAAGGAGCCCGAAGGAATATTTTCCCGCCTACTGAAATATCCATGAAGGGAACGCGCTCCCAAGGAGCTTTGCTCAAATTTTAAAAAAGGACATTTTAGAAATAAAAATATTGATTTTTTTTTCTCTCTCTCTCTCCCTGCTTGAGCTGAAGCAATGATTTCTGAAAGTCATCCAGTTTGGTCCGTGGCTTGTGGCTATTCAACTTGAGGCAGTAAGTTGCTGGGTAAAATCTAGCTCAGAGATTTTATTCAGTAAAACAATGAAAGCAAAACAAAGAAAAGGGAAAAGAAATACTATACGTAAGATGGACTTTAGAGCAAAGGGTGACATGAAAATAAAGTTTGAATAGGTTTTTTTTTTTTTAAAAAAAAGCAAATTGAAAGGATAAAAAAAAATACAGCTGAATTACTCTACTAACCACCCTCTCTCCCAGCCAATTTCTGTTTTAATGTGGGAAACATTTTTTTAGGCCTCTCCATTCTCTTGCCTCTTATCCTTCCCCATCTTAAATATTCTGGACTCTCTGCTCAGCCGTGTTTTCCCTTGCCAAAGAGCTTTTGCTGGTTGGAATTTGGCAAACAAGGTCAAGCAGCTCTGCAAATGCTCCCTTGCGTTATTTTAAATACAAGAGAGGAGATAAAATGCCCTTTGCAGTTGGGAAGCAATATATATATATATATCTGTGAATAGGGGCCTCCCCTTAGAAAGTTCAGTTTGACGTTAGCTTCTGGCATAATCTATTTCAATTCAAAGCTAGGCTGTGAACTGCAAATGGTGGCTGCAGCGGTGCAGGTAATAGTGAGGAAAATATCACCCACAATCCAGCTTTTTTGTTTGGGGCTGTAGATTAACATTTCTCTGAAGCCAAGTTCTTAACACAAACAAAAATTCAGAGTAACTATACAAAGACAAATTATACTTTGTTCAGATTGCTTGGAGGTGGGAGATACTTCCAATTTAATTTACCGGATCCCCTGCATGGACTGCCCCAGACAGGGAGGAAGTTAACCACCAGATTGCAAGAATACAAGTGAGTGGTCTGACAAGGAGACCTGAACTCATTGGTAGCCTCGTACTGCAATGAAGAAGGACACTACTAAGATTGTTGGACGAGCAGGCACAAAAACAGCCAGGGAAGCAATTGAAGCCTGGGAAATGGGTTTCAAACAAGTCAACAGGAGGGCTGATTTATCACCGGCTTATCAAAGTACTTAGAAGGTGAAGGCTGGGCAGCACAAGCAAAGGACAGCCAACGACTTAAAAGCCAGCCATCAACACACCCCAATCAACATCTAAAAGGCCACGTGCAACAGGCACCGTACAAATACCACGCACAGACAGCACGCACTCGGTTAGAGGGGTGCTGTGACGATGGGCTCTAGTACAAATCCCAAAAGCTCGGAAGACGAAACCTCTTGTCCCAGTGACCAGCCCAGATTGGATCCTGCAACATTATCCTGACATGTATATTCACCTTCATTTGTAACAAGGTGGTTTTTTTTACCAGGTTGGGCAGAGCAGCCCCGCATGGTGAGTTTACACCTTGGGGTGTGTGTGTGCAAAACACCCCCCCCCTTGAGTGAACTCATTAACCAGGCCCAGTGCCCTCACAACCCAGTGCCAAGCCAAATAAGGAAATTCACCTCTGATTATGTGCCCAGCACTTTGCAAAGCTTTATAATGTCATTAATAATAGCAAATGCTGCGGTGGATGGGACCCCTGGTGTGTTTTCGTTCCTGGGGAAGGGAGGACTACACTCCCTATTGCTCTCAGCTGGCAGGGGAATTATTATCAGGGTTTTTGTTTTAAATAAAAACCAGATTTTTGGGGAGGAAGTCTGCCATTCTGGGCATCCAATCTAACGGGCGGATTGGCTGCCCATTCAGGACTTTGCCTTCAATCTGGGTTGTACCATTAGAACGCATGGGGGAGCTGATTTAGAACTTCCGCTCTGGAAAGGTGAAAACGGTAGGAAAGATTACCAAAAGTCTTCCCTTGCCGCGGTATTTCTCCGTCCAGCTATCTGGCAGAAATGAAAGCAGCCCATTCCCTGAACCGGCTACGGATGCATCTCCTCCCCCCTCCCCGCATTTTGAAGTGGTAGAACCCAACGCTTCCTGAGAAAGGCGGCGAAGTGGCAGCGGCGCGCGCGTTGCACCCCGGGAAGCTTGATTGTTCCGCTCAGCCTCTCCAACGACGCCCAACCCGCCTGGCCCCTCCCTCTTTTCTCTCGCAACTTCCCGGAGAAGGAAAATCGAACTTTCCACCGTTGCGTCACAAGGACGTTCTTTCGGCGCGGGCCAATCGGAAAGCCGACGCCTCGTCAAGGCGGGCCAATCGGAGACGTCGCGGCCTCGGGGCGGGGACAGAAGCCCGGCGCGGGCCGGAAGCCGGGCGAGAGGAGGCCGGAAGAGGAGGTGAATCAGTCCGAGATTGAGCGGAGGTGGCGACGTCGTCCGGACAAGATGGCGGCGATGTTGGCGCCCGCGGCGGCCACGGCGGCCCCGGCGGGCTTCGGACTCGTCTCGGCGAGGATGGCCGCCGCTTCGGCCGGCGGCTCGTCCTCTTCCTCCTCGTCGTCGTCCTCTAGCGGCGGCCCGGGGCCTCTCCCGCCGCCTCCCGCGCCGCCTCCGCCCGGGGCGCTCCGCATCGGCGACCGGCTCTACTCGGGGGTGCTGCTCACCCTGGAGAACTGCCTCCTGCCGGAGGAGACGCTTCGCTTCACGCCTTCCATGAGCAACGGCCTCGACGCCGAGACCGAGGCGCAGCTCCGGATCACGGGCTGTGAGCTCGTCCAGTCGGCCGGGATCCTGCTCCGGATTCCTCAGGTGCGGAGGCCTCGGGCCTCAGTTCGAATGCGGGCCGTTGGAAGCCTCCCCGGCGGCGGTTACAGGCGGGGGAGGGGGGCTTCGAAGGGGTGGGGGGGGCGAGGGAAAGAGCAGGGAACGTTAGTGCGGAGAGTACATTGGACTACAATACCCATCTTCGCCTGGGGAAGTTGGGAGTCGTAGTCGGCCGAGATCTGAATGGATAAGAAATGGAATAAATCTGTATTTGTGAATTTGGACCCCTTGGAGAATGGCTGGGGAATTCTCCCAGGGGCCCAGGTTGAAAAAACTACTGGAATATGTGCTACATTGGAGTTAATAGTTATACTATTTCAGATAATAGTTATACTATTTCAGATAATCAGACAGCTTGTTGTGTTTAGAATTTCAAAACTCGGTTCTTTTATTACTGTCCAGAATTTCCTCATCTTTTCAGTGGGGGAGAGTCCCTGAGACTTGTTTTCTTCCTTAACCATTGTAAGGGAGCTTGTAACAATAGTCCATTAGCATTATAAAAGAAGGACTTAAGCCTGCCTAAAACCTTTATGCAGATTCCTTAAAGGAAAAGAAAAAAACAATGCCTCTTGGGCACATGATCTACCTCCACTGTGGGTGGAGATGGAAGGCACTGTTAGCAATCCAAGCATTGCATTGTAGCCTAATCTCAAAGATGCAAAATCTGCCTTTCTCAGAAATAGAGGAAAGCTTAGATCCTCTAAGCCAGGGATCCCCAAACTCCTGGATTCGCCGAAGGATTTTGTAGCCCCTGGTACTATTAGGAGCTAATTCCAGAATTTGACATTTGGGGATATTCTGTTCAGATTTGCCAGTTTGGATCTGTACAAATCAAGATCAGTACTGAACAATAGGATGGAGATATTGAAACTTCAGAATGAAACTCAAAATTCCAGACAATACTAGATTATGACACATGTGGTACTATTATGACATCAGTGGTACTGACCTATATGGTACTAATCTAATATATGATATATATATATATAGAGAGAGAATCTTGTCATCTTTTACTGTGGGCAGAATGGCACACATTAAAAATGAAATGTAGTTGCTTGCTCTCAAAGTGTACACATACATAACACACATTTAAACATACTATACGCAACACATGTATAGACCTACACCCTTACATGTAGTAATTCAAAGCTCTTTTGCTTCACTCCGATAAATGAAATATAATAGTGATGATAACCTTACCTGTGTTCCTCAGGGTTTGTTTCATTCTTCCGTCTGAATGGTTCATCTTTCCAAACTACGTTGGATGTGTGTCACTCAGTGATACCAATCATAGGATGTCTGTGAGCCTTTTATGTACAAATGTGTGGAATTCTTGTTTGTATTTGCTGATAGCTTTTTTTATATAAAGTCTCCATATGAAATGGTTTCCTGTTTCAGCAGGGGTGTTTGGACTAGAAGACCTCCAAGGTCCCTTCCAACTTCGTTATTAATATATATGTCATTAGGATTGTGATGACAGTCTATCCACTTGAAGCCAAATAAGGAAAGAAAATTTATAAACCCCCAAAATTATATTTAAACTGGAAGATAAAACAACATGGAATCTTCTTCTCAGGAGAAAAAAAAAACCCTAGTTTAAAACTAGTATTCAAAAGGTCTTGTAAAGAATCTGTGTAGCATGCAGTGTTCTAAATCTAGGACTATTTAGGAACTCCGTACAAATTGGCTGCCTCTGAGTCAGTCAATTCTGCTTTTGTTTCCCAGGCTAGGGGCTTTTTTATTTTTTAAAGCAGTTAAACCCAGGCTTGTAAAAAATAAAAACCTCTTAAGGGGGAATCATGATAAGGAAGCCATGGGGAAAGGCAGAGAGAGCAAAATTGCTTTACTGGAAGTTTTCTGGCACAGCCCAGGCAAGTCGGCATTCTGTTCCAGGAAGTGTGTGACGCAACAGCCCTTTGGCCTGAAATGACAGTGATTCCCTCCCTTGCAAGTCCTTTATTGTTTGCCAAGGAAACTAGCTGATTACTGCTCTTTTGGAGGCAGACTGGATTACAGTATTTTGAAGCTACAGCTCTGACTTGCCCTCTGGCTGATTTCATCCCCAAATACCCTTCCCATTGTTGAGAAATATTTTCTTGGTTTTCTCCTCCAGAGCTGTCTTTTACATGGAAGAGTGGGTTTTTAATTGCCCCTTGGTTTTTTCCTAATTGCGCCTTTTGAGCAGTAAAGAGCCGCTGGTCCCTTTCATTTTTCTGTGTTCAGAGAAAGTGGGCCGGAAGGCCATTGAGTGTCTTCCACCTTAGAAGCCTTTTAAGTTGTCTGTCGACACCAAACAAACAATGCCGTTTTCTCACTTGCCTGCTGTTAGATAACCAGGAGTGATGACTACACAGGACCATCCTTTCAAATACATTAAATAGTATCTCCCGCTCATTTCCTTGGGCACTAGGAAGTTTAGCCTGTACAGTGTCCGTGATTGCCAATAAAAACATTTTTGAGTTCCTTCCCTTAAATAAGGAAAGTGTTTTTCCCAAGCTGGTTTAGGTATAACGCACACATCTAGGAGGAGACATAAATGATGGGGGGAAAAAATATAACTGCAGATTCTTTATAGATTCAGAACTCACGCTCCATTTATGTTTTCTATTGGAAGAGTATTAATATATATTCTGGCTTTGCTTTTCGTTTTCCAGGTGGCCATGGCTACAGGGCAGGTGCTGTTCCAGCGTTTCTTTTATACAAAATCGTTTGTGAAGCATTCCATGCAGGTACGTAGTTTAATTTTAGGAACTGCAAACTCAGTTGCCGTTTTTGGAACATCAGACTATCAAACTTTTTCTGCTTGATGTCCCAAGCTGACATTACTTGCCGACAGGTCCCGTTGATCTCAGATATAAATGTTTTCAGGCCTTCAGTTTAGTGTTAACCTGAATCTATGTGCCTTTTTCTTCTTGGGCGATATCCGTAATATATTAAATTGATGCTAAATTTGGGGTTGATTGAAAGGTGTGCTGCTTTTCTTTCATTGCTGACCTTTGAGCAACTCTTAAAAGATGAAGAAACTCTACTTCCTGTGTCAGAAAAAAAAAGATAACTCGCCCAAAACATTAGGGAGAGACTTTTTTTTTTGTCTTTCTTTCAAAAATTATATGGAGGCACCCTTGAGGTCATTTGGAAAGACCTTTATTGGAGTTGCATTGAGAGGATCTTATTGAATAAGTCCCTTCCTGAATCTCAAGAGGTTGTGTGTGTTGGGGGGGAAGAGTTAACACTCTCGGTCCCGTAATGTCAGAGTCCTTTTAAAAAATACAGCCAGGTCCTTGACTTACAACCACAGTTGACTCCAAATTTCCCTAGCTAATCAAGAGAGTTGTTAAGTGAAGTTTGCCCCATTTTATGACCTTGCCACAGTGGCTAAGAAGTCCCTCTTCGCTGACGTCATAACTTCAGTCACTGAATGGGTTGTAAGTTAAGGACTACCTGTAAAAAAAAAAAAAAAAGATTGGATTGATCTCAGAAACAAACGGGGCAGCTCAATGAGATTGGATGTGCTGTGAGAAGAGTGTCTCAAAAGCCAGTTGTGCAAGTTGTTCTCTCGCTGCTCGAGAGTGAGATTTCTCTTGTCTTGTCTTCCTTTCTCCAGCATGTGTCAATGGCCTGTCTTCATTTGGCTTCCAAAATTGAAGAAGCCCCCCGGCGCATAAGAGACGTGATTAATGTATTCCACCGACTTCGGTTACTGAGAGAGAAAAAGTAAGTCTGAAATGCAACGGGCTTTGGGTCAGTTCTTGCAGCTTGCAGTAATTCTTGTAAGCCTTGGGAATGACCCCCTACATCCACTAGCTTTGCCTCTCACACTCTGGCCATTTCCCCTGCATCCACACACAATGTAGGGGTGTTTTAAGGATCCTATCTTTCTTGGGTTGCCGATCCCATCCAATCCAGAAAGGAGGTTGGCAGTGATTCCTCCCCTCTCTCCATGAAGAAGACCATCCCTGAGGTTCTTATCTGCAGGTTTTTCGCCCCTGATCTTGGCAAGAGGGAGACCCTTGTGTGGTGGGAATGAGCCCCTGTTTGCTAGAAACAATATAATTGCTGGGAGTTGCCTCCGTAAGGCTACACTAGGAGTGAAGCTTTGCGTGGGAGAAAAACTCATTCTGGGGCTGAAGGATGGGTTAAAGAGGGTGAATTTGGGCTTGAATCGGGTGCCTTGGCCTTCATCAAAAGGATCGTGGGGGTTCCAGATGGAGAATTTAAACCTTTCTCGATCTGGTTCCCTTTAACTGTATGGGATTGCACCAGGGGACGAGGGTTGTGGTTTTTCCATTCAGATTGTACAAAAGCTGGCAATGAAACTCCTGCTGTGGCGTTACGCTGTTGAGGTTTCAGCCAAGACCTCCCTCCTTCCTTCCTTCCTTCCTCCACGCAGAAAACCTGTCCCTCTAATACTGGATCAAGAATACGTTAACTTGAAGAACCAAATCATCAAGGCAGAGAGGAGAGTTTTGAAGGAACTTGGATTTTGCGTGCACGTGAAGCATCCTCACAAGGTGTGTATTTGGGCTTCCTGCACAGCTGTTGACTGGGCAGACCAAATGGATGACTGGAATTGATGGCTTCACATTTTAAGCGTTGGTTATCTTTCTGTATTATGGATTGCTCGCGTCAAGCTTTTAGCGTAACGGGAGTGTTTTGTATGTCCAGGTAACTCTGTAATTTTTCAGTATCAAAACCAATCCTGGTTGCGACTCAGATCTTCCCCTATGCTCACATCCTTGTGCAAGGGAGCATGTTCTCTTTCTTCCTCTCTGCTTTGCTGTGTGGCTTCCCTTTTTGGGGGGGGAGGCACTTGGCAACATTTAAGATAGGGGCACTGTCCCTTTAAGAGTGCAACCCGGGAGAGTAGGAAAACTGTCTTTCCTGTTACTCTTAATCCTGACCCTCTTGTGTGGTGGCCTCTAGGGCAAGAGCGGTATAGAAGTCTAAGTGCTATTGTTTTTTTTCTCGAAATATAAGCTCCAGCTTCTGAATCAGTTTAAGTGCCCTAAGCCTTCTCCTTTTCCCCCTGGCCAAGTCTTACTCATTTCTAGCATGCTTTGGAGCCCAAAATAAGATAGATTAATTCTTTTTTATATATATCTCTTCAGCAAGTAGTACAGTTTTTGAGGTGGACCCTGAAGGAGAGAGCTCTCTCCAGTTTTAACGTTCTTTGGAACGGGAAGGCAACCTGTGCAGGTTGAAGAGAGAGAGAGAGCCAGGGCTGGAAGCAATAAATGCTTAAAAGGAAGCTTTGGGCTGTGTGCCTGTACTTGAGCCTCCCTTCCCTGCTTCTGGAGGGCCTCTATCTAGAATTAGCTGTGGCTCAGCTTGACCGGAGGAAATTAGTTCAGCTGGCCTCTCTCTCTGAATGAAAACCTCTCTTCGCCACTTGATCACCTGTATAACTCCGTCACCCGTATCTTCCAGATAATCGTTATGTACCTTCAGGTATTAGAATGTGAACGTAACCAGCACCTGGTCCAGACCTCATGGTAAGTTGACGTTTCTTGTTTCTCTTGAGGCCCGCGGGGCAGTGGCAGGAAAGGTGTCATAGTTGGGGGCTGTGCGCCTGTGCGCCGCTGCCAGGTTCTCGTGGCCTTCCGTTCTTTTTTTTTTTTTAAACCCGGAACGCCACCTCCTGCCCCTCCGAGTGGACGGGCCTCTTTGCTAAAAGAGTCAGACCCACTGTCTTAAGTGGTAAGAGAGCGGATCTCCCCTTTCTCTCCTGCTGGGGGGGGGGGGTGAGGGACATTTCCCGGTGCTTGGTGGGGACACCCCGCCCTCCCCCCTCCCAAAGAAAGAAAGAAAGAAAGAAAGAAATCCACTTTCCAGCAGGGCCCAGAAGAAAGTAAGCTTGGAAGGGGCCGACAGCAGCGGTCCTCCTACGCCCAGTGTTTGTCGTTCAGAAACACAGTGCCCTGGGTGGGTCTTAGGATAGGTGTGGGATGGCAGTTGTTTAACACGAGGGTCCCTAACCCCTGGGCTGTGGCCCATTTGGAATTGGGTTAGACTGGCACGCACGCAGCCCGTGTGTGAGTGGCGGGCCAGCGCGTGCACACAGCTCAACTTGTATGGGCTGTGGACACTTATGCGGCCCAGTTCTCTTCCCCCGGACCGGCCGCCAAGCCACGACGGTTGGGTATCGCTGTTTTAACCACATAGCTTTGGGGTGGCTAGCGGACCCCTGTCACCTTGCAACGCCCCCCCCTTCCCCCCATTTCCAGCTTCTGCAGGTTTTAGACTCTTAAATATCTCTGTTCTATTCCGTGTTTGTGTTTCCCGAATCTCAGTCCTAGCCAGTCTCTCTCCCCCCTCCCCTATTCTAAGAAAGGTAGCAGCTAACCTGTGTGAACCTACTACCAGGGTGTAAACGTAGAACTCAAAGCGATTGTGATGAACTATCTGGCGTGGCTGGGAAGGAGAACCTGTTTTGACTTTTTTCCTTTTTTTCTGTACTCTTTTGATCGAAGGGTAGCTCTTGAGGGTAAGTGACTAAGACCTCTCCTCTGCTGCCCACGAACAATGGTGCAGGGATTACTGGCGTCTTCAGTCAAACCCGAGCAGGCTCCACAGAGAGAAGGCTGACTCTCTAGACAGGTGGTATGCGTCCGCTAGTAGAGTTAAAACCTGGCCGAACTGCTGCTTGTGATTTTTATTTCATTTTTTAAAAATTATTATTATTATTTTCTCCCTTTGTTTCCAATCTCTTCTCCCCCCCCCCGTTTTGTTTGCACACTTTTCCCCTCTTTCCCCCCCCCCCCCAGACGGGCCTGTGTTACCTTGTCCAGATGCTCTGATGCTTACTTATCATGTTTGATATCTTAGTTCAATGCAAATGTTTTGATTCGACTCGGCTTTTCTTTTAAAAAAAAAAATAATAAAAATTAATAAAAAAAAATGTGGCTGAGGTTTGGGCTGGGAAGGAGGGATGGGACTCTGAACGCTGGGTCATTGCACCTGTGAAATCTATTACGCTTTTGTATTGTATTTCAATTTTTATTTTTTTTAAAAAAAAGAAAGAAAAAAAAAGATGTCACCTTTTTTCCGGACTCTTTAACGCACGTCGTATGGCCTAGATCTTCTGTTTGGACTTTTCAAAAGTCGGATCTTCACCGTTGCCTTCCGGAACACATCCCTTCCATTGTGGTTGAATTAGAATGTTTTTGATTCTCTGCTGGAATTATTGCTGTCTGAAGGGGGTGAGGGTGGGGGTGGGAAGGTCCAAGGTCTTAATGTTGCATAACCACACTTTTCAAGTTGTTTCCAGGTGCTGCCCTAGATCATTGTAACTCTGGGAAGCCACCACACTTAGTTCATTTTGGTGTGTCTTCTAAACTGAAGTAGCTCCATTCAAAGGTTAGTCGTTGTGGATCTAGACTGCCATAGTCCAGAAATGGTTTATTATTAAGCCCTTCTTTACGTCCCCTGGACTGGTTTTTTTTTCCCCACGTCCCAACACAGTCGATCTGGTCAAAGATGCCATCCGGAAAATTCCGGTTGGCATAAATACAGGTAGTCCTCGACTTACAACCATTCATTTTGGGATCGTTCGAAGTTACACTGGGGGAAAAATAATGACCTATGATAGTTTTTCATACTTACCGACCGTTGCGGCCTCCCCACGGTCACGTGATCAAAATTCAGATGCTGGCAGCTGACTCGTATTTATGACGGTTGCAGACTCCCCCTGGGGGTCACCTGATCCTCTTTTGCGATCTTCTGACAACGGGGAAGCCAAATTCACTTAACAACCGTGTTACTAACTGAACTGCAGCGATTCATTTAACCCAGGGGCCTTCAAACTTGGCCCTTTGATGACTGGTGGACTTCAACTCCCAGAATTCCTCAGCCAGCCTGGCTGAGGAATTCTGGGAGTTGAGGTCCACCAGTCATCAAAGGGCCAAGTTTGAAGACCCCCGATTTAACCTGTAGCAAGAAAGGTCACGAAAAGGGACCAAGTTCACTTAACAAATGTCTCACTTAACAACAAAAATTTTGGATTCAGTTACGGTCGTAAGTCAAGACTTCCCTGTATTTTGGACGAGAAAAGGCATCCCTGTTAAATAATTGTTGGTTTGCCTTTTTTTTAAAAAAAAAAAGTTTTTTTGCTGTGTTGTTCCATTTTTGCCTCTATTTAGACCCAAGCACGGGTTTTAACGGCTAGAACGCAGCTCGGAAATTAAAATGACGCCCCTGTGCAAATCTTCACAAGAAATAAGTTTCCTGTAGTGTAATGCTCTAGGCGCATCAGCCCAATCCAGCGGACGACGACTTTGAAAAAAATAAATACTTGAAAAAATATTTAGGTGCTGGAAATGTACTGTGTTGTTTACATTGCCCTTCGTGTTCCGGTGTGCAAAATGGACTTGGTCAGAGGTCTCGTGCTGTATTATTTTTTTTTTTTTTTACTTCATTCTGTAAACATTTGTTTTGAGAAACCTTGTTACAGCCGGGCGGGCTAGAGAGGCCCAAGGACAGCTCAAAGGCACCGTGCGCCGGCTGGCAAACGATGGACGTTTTTGTGGCTGGTTCCCGCAAACGGATTTGGGCCCAGTGGTTTCATCAAGCGGAAGCGACTTGCGACGGAAGAGGCCGCCCATTGGAAAAGCTCTGGATTTCTGCCCCCCCCCCCTTCAGAACCGTGGCACCTGTTCCTGCGGACTGTTCGTTTTTTTGCATTGGATGCGCTGTGGTGGGACCGTCTTCGGACGGCTACTGTAACTGTAACCTTGTAGCCGAGAGGAAAGTTAAAACGGGTTCTCGTTCCTAAAAACACCCAGATCCAGTTGATAACATTCCAGATTGATGCTCTTCTGCCAGATGAAGCAGCTCGTTCCCTTTGCATCCTGTCGGGGTTCACAGGGTTACCTAGCGGTAAAAAGTTAGCTCCATTAGATTGAAAAAGGAGGCTTAGTCCTGTATAGGAAGGAATTTGGGGCACGTTAGCCACACCGCCTGTTTCTTTCTTGTTCCCAATTCTCTCAGGAATTACATGAACGACAGCCTGCGGACTGATGTCTTTCTGAGATATCAACCGGAGACTATTGCGTGCGCCTGTATCTACCTTGCAGCTCGGACTCTTCAGGTGAGTGTATAAAATTAGGTCACGTTGTTTGGAGGACCTGTGTGTTTCCTAGCAGGATTGTTCTTTTGCTGAATATTTTCACCACAAAGAAGAAGGGGGGGGGGGTTTTCAGCCTGTTCTCCAAAGCACCTGAAGGCTGGCAAGGAACAACGGAAACCAGGATGGAAGCAACCTAGAACTAAGGAGAAATTTCCAGACAGTGAGAGCAACTAATCAGTGGGAAAGCTTGCTTCCAGAAGTTAACGGGTCCTTTTAGAGTCATGACCTTGATGTTAGGTCAACCCTAACCCCCGAGGAAGCCATCTTGGGAGTTTGAAAGCTGGCTGTGGTTACTATAACGTGTCACAAACGCTGCAAAGTGTCACCCATGGGGGGGGGGAAACCTTGTCAAAGGGAGGCACGTGGCTGCTCCTGGTTGAGGAACCGTTGGTGCCTTTTCTTTGCAGATTCCGCTCCCAAATCGTCCTCACTGGTTCCTTCTCTTTGGGGCTACGGAGGAGGAAATTCAAGAGATCTGCCTGAAAATTTTAAAACTCTACACAGTGAAGAAGGTACGTGGCTGCCTCTGGGGCGAGATTTCCGAAATGTGGTTGATCAGCCCACTCTTCTCCCTTTGATCAGCTTGCGTGGGAAACGGTCGTGTGCCTTGTTTCAGTCCTGTATTATTTATTTATTTATGAGACTTATATACCGCTTTAAGTGCAAGCACTTTCTAAGCGGTGTACACCAGTAAGCAATGTATATCTATATTTACATTGCCCCCAACAATCTGGGTCCTCATTTTACCTACCCTGGAAGGATGGAAGGCTGAGTCAACCTTGAGCCGGTGAGATTTGAACCGCTGACCTGCTGAACACAGTCAGCTAAAGTGGCCTGCAGTACTGCACTCTAACTGCTGCGCCACCTCGGCTCATGTTGAGCGGTCACCAAACAAACTGTTGTAAGTCGAGGACTGCCTGTAGTTGACATTCTTTTGATCCCTTTCTTCCCCACCCACCTCTCGTCGTCGCCCTGCCCTTCCTTTCTGCGCAGCCTTTTCGGGTAAGCAAAGCTTCTCCTAAAGCCGTGCCTCTCTCTTTGCCTCGTCAGATTGACCTGGCCGTTCTGGAGAGCCGTGTTGAGCAGCGGAGGCTGGCCATGGAAGAGGAGAAAGCCCAGGCCAAAGGCCTCATGCCGGATGGAACTCCCCATCTGGCGGTGTCAGGTTTTTCTCCCGTCCCCAAACCAGGTGGGTTGTTTCCGGTCCTGAACTTGGGGGGGGGGGAGAGAGGCTTTTTCGAGAAAGTAGCCCATCAAAGGAGAAGCCGCTTGCCTTGGCCAGCATCTTAGCCGCTGAGCAGAACGGTCTGGTTGAAACCAGCCCGTCAGTCTTGTGGATTGGTGGGTCAGTTTCCTCAACTGCTAGTTTGAACTGCCCCTTCTTTGACCTAGCCCGGAGGTCCCTCACCTTTTGGGCACCAGGGACCGGTTCCACGGAGAGCGGTTTTTGCGCGGACCGGAGGGTGCGTGGTTTTGGGTGCTGCCTGCATCTCACGAACAGGGCTTTGCTTGTTTGTGCGGCCCGGTTGATGGCATGTCATAGAACGGGGGGGGTGGTTGGGGGGTTGGGGACCCCTGCCCTAGTCCTTCCTCTCTGACATCCTGAATTTGTAAATCATCCCTTTATAGACCCGGCAGGTATTGGAGGTTTTATTGAACAGAATCCTGGCTGGACTTGCAGCGTCAAGTTTGGGTCCCAGGACATTTCCTGTTTTTGGTTTCTTGAGAGTTTTTTTTTTCCCTATTCTGTAGCTTTGCCTAAATTTCTAATGTTCCTGGATTGGCTGGATTTCTTGAACTTTGTCACTTCTCCCTCAAATAGAGTCTCCGAAAGATACCAAAGGCTCCATTAAGCCTTCCCCATTGCTCGTGCAGGTGGTCAAAAACGCAAAGCGGAAGACCGAAGGGATGAAGCGATTAAGGTCCAAAAGTCCAATTAATGGGTAAGTTTTGGGGGCTGGAGGCTCCCCTCTGCTTAACGGGAGTCGGGTCGAGGAGCGTTGTTGTTTTTTCCCCCCAGTTTGGATCCATTTTTCTCTCTCCTGCAGGGTTTCCCAACCTGGGAAGCTAAGAGGCGTGGACCTCAACTCCAAGAATTCGTGGGAATTCCGGGAGTTGAAGTCCACGCACCTTGAAGGAGCCCAGGTTGGGGAACCCTGCTGTAGATTATCCTCTGCCCTGAAAGTTCATTGACTGGCTGTGAGAATAAAACGCCACTTCTCTTATTCTTTGAATTTGCAGCGTTCAGAAAGCGGGCCGCGAGAGCAGGAGTCGCAGTAGAAGCCGAGAGCAGAGCTATTCTCGATCCACTTCGCACTCGCCTTCTCCGAAAAAGAGGTGGGTTACCGAACGGCTGGGGGCCTGGAACCACGCGGTTGCTTGTCCCGGCAGTTGCTTTTAAGAGACAAGAACCAGCGAAGGGGTCTTGGTAATAAAAGTAATTAAGCTGGCACCTGGGGAACGCCAAGCCGGAGGAAAAAAGGTTTTCTTGAGACCAAAGCCTGCAGATAGTGCATTTGGCAGCCCGGCCTAGCTCATTGTCCAGCCAGGCAGAGAGATAGATGGGGCTTTTGCTTGCAGTAATGCAGGGGTCTTCAAACTTGGCAACTTTAAGACCTGTGGACTTCAACTCCCAGAATCCCTCAGCCAGCCCTGAATTCTGGGAATTGAAGTCCACAAGTCATCAAAGGGCCAAGTTGGAAGGCCCCTGCTTTAACCAGTTGTAACTGCAGGATGAAACAAACGATTCTCCAGGCAAACTCTTCTAATTTTCAAATGTTTTTAAAATCTGCCCCGGCGGGGCCTTTTTGCTTGGCAGCGAGAGGTAGCCGTCTTCCTCTTCTCCCTCCCCCCCCCCTTCCAGGAAAAGTGAAAGCTATTCCACCTCCAGCTGCTCCAAGTCGCACAGCCGTTCGAGGAGCCGCAGCGATTCGCCTCCCCACCAGTTCGGCCACACGGCCTCCAGTTACCAAAGTTCCAAGATGCGAAGCTACAAGAAGGACAAGGGGTACAAGTACGCCTCTCCCAAAGCCCGGCAGTCCCACAGCCGCAGCTCCTCCAGGTCCCGCAGCCGTTCGCAGGAACGGGAGCGTCCTGAGCACACGGGCAAGTATCGGAAGAAGAGCCACTACTGCAGGGATCAGAGGCCCGAGCGGCACCACCCCTACGACAGGCCGAGCCATCGCTACGAGAGAGATCCCCCCGGCCACAGCCGACACCGGAGATGAAGTCAGACACAGCACAGCCAAAGCTCTCTCCCCATTTTCCCTGGCTTCAGCCAAGCCTTTCTTTTGCCTAAAGCTGGACTCTGGAGCCTGACAAACACCTTGACTATTTAAGGGCCCGGATGGCACGGACCGTACACGGGGCCAACGATGAGATTTGAGGGGCACTCTTTGGCTGTTTCCCCCTTGTCTTGATAGAGGGCTGTTTGCTTGTCTGCTGGATTTTGTGTCTGCTTCATGCTGGTGTGATGATGCCCCTTTGAGCTGTCAAAGCAGGAGTGTGGCCTGCCTCAAGATTCTATGAAGGAAAACCTCGGAACACTATTCAGAGGGTTGAGATTCTCTCCCCCCCCCTTTCTCAATTTATTAAATATTTCTTCCTCTCTCTCAGAGGATCTTGGAAGATCCACCCCAACAACATTGCTAGGTGCTAACAGCATTTTTTTCTTTCGTTTATGTTTTTTTTTTTTTGTCATACGGTCAACTTGTCTGCATTGTTATTTTACAGAAAGCGATTCTCGGATTCTTAAAACTTAAGTGCCTATATTAGGCACGTTTGGAGGGGGAAAGGATCTGACGCTGAAATGGGAAGGGCAGAGGAAAGCTTTAACCCTTTCAGAGTGCAAAATGTGTTTCAAGTAATTTTGGAACTAGGAACCCGCATCCTGAGAATGCAGATTTTACGTTCCTTAACTGGAGGGGTTTTCCCCACAGGCCTACTCACTATTATTGTTATTATTGTTGTTATTTTTTTATCCCCAGCAGAAAGAACTATGGAATAGTATTTAAATTCCACGAGTTGAAAGTGGGTGTTTTTTTAAAAGAAAAAATCCTGGTGCTGGCCGCCAGTTCTAAGCTGGGGGTGATTTCATAGAGCTTAACCTTTTATGTGGTTTAGGTAATAAAAATTTACTCAGGATCTTTTCAAAAGTCTGGAGAACTGATTGTTTTTGTCTGCTCTTAGCTTGCTGAAGAAAAGGTGTTTCTATTAAGAGAGAAACGTATGCAGCACAAGAATATCCGTTTTAGTGGTATATCTGTGCTGTCTTCCTGTTCCTTAATTTCATTAAAGTATTTGATTTTGTATTTAAACAGTTGGACTCCGACTCTTCGACCTGCGTTGAACGGCGGTTTTAGTTTGTGATATGTGTGTTTCTTTCTCCCCAGTACCAGATTTTAGCCTAAGCTTCCAATTGTGTCGTTTGTCTTTTACACAGAGCAGAATGTTGAAGTTTAGTGTCACATTGGATCTAGGGGGCATAGTTTTGGTTTCTGAAAAGTTTTTTTTTTTTTATAACCGCACTTTGCCTTAATGTTTCATTATCCAAAAAATACTTTCACGCTCTGAGTGGTTTTCTGCAGAAAGCACATAACAACAGTTCATAACACACACCTGGCCTTGGCTGATGCCAAAAAATAAGCAAGTGGTTTGTTTTTTCTTTTCTTTTTTTTTTTACTTTTGGGGACGAGAGCTTGTATGGATGGAGCAGAGGCCAGGAAGAAGAGTTGGAATTGAATAAAAGGAGAGAAAAGCGAGAGTTTAGTGCGGTGTGTGAACTTGGTATGGCAGCTTCCAGATATATCTGTGGAAGAATCGCCCTATACTGGCCCTCACAAATGGGATCACAGACTTTGGGGAAATAATATGGTCCTTCCAAGCAAGAGGCCAAATTTCTTTGGCAGTGCACTTTGAGGATGTTCTGAATCTCAAGATTCTTGGCTGGAGCAGACAATGTGAAAATAATTTATTCTACTATTATTAAAGACTCTAGGGTTATTTTGTAGGTTATTTTTTAATCTCTTAATAAACTGCATTTGGTTTTAAAAAGGCATTTCAATGTGACTTCTACAAAATGATCCTTGAATCCCTATCTTCATGCACTTAATTGTTTCTCCTATTAATGAGTTGAATGACAATGATTTTATATGGTCATAAATAAAAACACTCCCCAGGCAGGAAGAGAAAGTATCAACAGATTTTCAACTTCAAAGTAATTAACATTATTAGGCCACAATGTAAGCAAATAGACTTTCTCCTGGCAGTATCTCTGAATCACAATGTGTATTTTGAGGGCTAAATATGGATCTAGGCATGTGTATTTTTCCAGTGAAACAGATCAAGACAGGAAGATCATTTTATTATAATTTATTTATTCAGAATGTTTGAATTAAAGTATTCCTTTCAAAGAGGGAACGCTGAAAATCAACTTACATTCCCTTTTATAGTTAAGAAAATTATAAAGAGAAAAGTTGGGCGGGACAAAAATAACTTCCCCTTTGCATAGGAAATCAGTTGCATGGAGTTAATAAGAATGTTAGACGTTATCAATCAATCCATACAGCAATAGAATAAAGAGCCTTCTACATTCCAGTCTGAAATGGTTTGTTAAACATCATTTAAAAGAGAAAAATCAAATTAAAATACAAAATAACTATGTTAGCAAGCACAACAATACTTGCTGTGTGGCTGTCAGTTTAGGGCAAATGGAACTAGTTTCTAACTCATCAGCATTCTCCCTATTGCTACCAGGCAAGGCACTAATATTGGAAGACTTTAAAGCAGTGTTTCTCAACCTTGACAATTTTAAGGCATGTGGACTTCAATTCCCAGAATTCCACAGCCAGCAATGCTGGCTGTGGAATTCTGGGAGTTGAAGTCCACATGCCTTAAAATTGTCAAGGTTGAGAAACACTGCTTTAAACTCTAAAGCTTAGTCTTAATTGTCAACTATTCAATAGCAATTATGTCCGCCCAAATTCCATTAGTTCACAACTGCCACGTAATAGAAGTATTACCTTAAGCTTCTGTTGGGGGAGGGGTGAGATATAAATAATACAATGATATGGGTATATTAGGAAGTGGCAATTATGCAACACGAAGTCCCTATTGCAGAAACCTCTTTTAGTCATATAAGTGTAGAGGGTTTTTTTTATTTTTTCGCTGTTCATCAACCTGCGCCATTTGATCCCTAGAGGGCAGCAGAGACAGTAGGGGAAAAGGAATACGGGAGCGGAACCTTCCCTTTACAGCGCGCGTTTCCGGGAGGGACTCTTAAGGCAGACGGTCCGAATCGCCTGACCGGAAGTGCGTCTCGTATTGTTTCCCCGACTTCCAGTTGATGGTGAGGTAAGGAGGTATGTACGAGGGGCTGTGAGGCCTTTCTCTGTGCGTATTTACGTGTTTTGTGTGTGGACGTGTGTGTGATTGTGAGTATACACAATCGTAGGGGAGCCTCCTGCCTTTTTTCAAAACGGCTCCCGGCCGTTCTGGGAGCCTCGAAGGCCTTGTTCTTGGGCCTCATTTGGCCCGAAAGGGCCTCAATTCGCCGGGGCCTGCCCGGCGTTGGGGCCTCCTCGTTCATCTGACGACCCTCCTCTTCCTTTCTCGTTTTTACTAGCCGGACTCGACATGCTGGTCTCTCGGCTGACGGCTCCCCTCGTGAGGGCATCGCGGTGTGCAGGTAAAGAGCGGCCTTGGCTGGGAGGGGGGGAGGCAGGGTTTGGGGCCAGAAAGGGCCTTTCCTATCACTTCGTGGCTCCTTGTGCTGGGGAGGACGAGGTCAGCCATCCTCTGAGTCGGGGGGGGGGGGTCTCCAAGCATGGCAACTGGCGGACTTCAACTCCCAGAATTCCTCAGCCAGCCAACTCCGGAGTGGGGAAGTAGATGAGTTGGTGGACTAATAACTGATCCCATCCCCACCCTAAATACTTTCTGGGCCCCCACTCCCCATCTTTTAATCAGAACCTGTGTTTTCATTGCATTTAAATGTACTGTATATGTAATATTATTATGTTTTTTATTGTTTTAATGCAAGCCACCCAGAGCCTCCTCATGGCAAGTGGGCAGCAAATAAATAAAATAAAATAAACAGGAGTGTCGCAGTGCAAGTGTTGCAATAGTACCCGGAAAAGGGTGGGGTGAGTGTTAGAAAGCAGCTTTTAGTCCACCCTCAGCCATGGAAGCTCACGACGACGGATGAGGAATTCTGGGAGTTGAAGTCCATGAGGCTTAAGGTGGTGAAGGTTGGAGACCCCTGCTCTAAATTGACTGGTGACTGTAAGGACACAACTAAGGAAATGGAGCCCAGCTTCTCCATCAACTTTGCTTGTCAGAAGGTCGTAAAAGGTGATCCCGCGGCCCTGGGAGTCAGCAACCATCATAAACATGAAGCCAAGCATTCGAATTTTGATCACGTGACCATGGAGGTACTCTAATGGTCATCACTGCGAAAAGCCGCCATTCCAACTTCGAACGGTCACTAAACGAACTATTGTAAGTTGAGGATTACCTGTATAAACATTCTCACAAATACCTGTTTATGAATTTCGTTCCCACTTGTCCTTAGGGTGCTTCCTGTTGAGACCATCTGTTGTCCTTCCACCTCCTAGAGCAGCCGTTCTAGCAAGTTACAGCACACATCCGTCGAGCAAAAATGGAACCCGGCCCCACCAGTGGTTTGCACTGGACCCTGAGCTAGAAGAAATGCTGGTCCCTCGCAAGATGTCCATCTCCCCTCTTGAAAGCTGGCTGACGGTTCAGTATTTCCTCCCTAAAACCGGAGGCATCATAAACGTTCACGAGAGGAACAGTCCCCGGCCACTCCAACAGTACGATCTTCCTGCTCCTTCCAGGGGCGCTAAGGCAGAGGAGGAAGAGGAGGCAGAACATGGAGGGGAGATGAACCGGCCCAGAATGGAATGCAGAAACATTTTGAAGATCCGGAGGAGAAAGATGAATAGACACAAGTACAAAAAGCTGATGAAACGTACGAAGTTTGCACGGAGAAAAGTCTTGGAAAAGCGGATGTGGCGGAAACAGGTGGGTTGGGCAGGTAATGAAGAGGCCCTTCGACCTCTAGGTGAAGAGCATTTGCGGCCAAATGTGATTAAGACACACAGGGAATTTATCTCCAGCACAGAAGCTCTCAGAATAGATCAGCGGTTCTCAACCTGTGGGTCGGACGACCATTTCACGGGGGTCGCCAAACAACGCAGTCCGCCATTCCCCCCCCCCTTTTCCTTAGCTGTGCTCCTCCCTTTTATTCTATTGGCTTTTGAAAGCCAATAGAATAGACTCTCTTGAATAGAGTCTAATTCTATTGGCTTTCAAAAGCCAGTAGGAATTGTCCAGGCTGTCTCTGCCCTGCTGAGCCCGCCAGAAGTCCCATTCTGCAAACCAGTGCTGTACCAGTTGAGTGGTCCTCGACTTACGACCGGTTGAGTAGTCCTCGACTTATGACTGGTTGGGGGTCGCGGCATTAAAAAGGTTGAGAACCACTGGAATAGATGCAAACCAACAGAGTAATAATAATCATAATAATGATACCAATAAGAGGGGCTAGTAGAGAAGACAAGGATAATACTACAGCCATACAACACGGGTAAATTTACTTAGACAGTACTGTGTTCAGCAGAGTGATAGCTTGAGGGAAAAAAACTATCTCTGTTTCCAGTTGTTTTTAGTTGTTATATCCAGGAACATGATGATACAAGATCATAACCTAAACTCAGACGATGTGCCGTGTATTCTGTGGTTTAGAGAGCATCGTTTCCAAGCTAGACTTTCATTTTCTGTTTTTCCTTTCTTTATAGAAAAAATTTGAAAATGAACTGAAAAGGATATGGAAAAAAGCCGGTTTGAAAAACCCCCCAGAGGGATGGGTAACTCCGAAGATTTATCTCAGAAATGTGAAATCTTGATGCCGCTTTGAGTAGAAATGTCTTTAATTCAAAACATTATTTAAAAGGCAAAGGTAATTTTCTCATCCCCCCCCCCATTGACAATTGTTATCACCTTTATACAAGAATTTTGAAATGGAGCCTTTTAACGGTCATCCTTACGGCTACCTTGTACTGTTGAATCTCTATTACAGATTGGTAAGAATAAATACATTTTGCTTGAGTGTCTTTTTAACAGTGGGTAAAGGGATTTTTTTTTTGTCTGCCCACCATGCTGATCATTTATTTCCCTTTATAAAAACTAATTACGTTGTAAGAAAATTCTGCTGCTGTGTTTTAAAAAAATAGAGGAAACACAGGAATGCCTCGCCTCGTCTACCACTACTTAATTCTTTATGCCATCAGGAGATACC